TTTGGTATCATTGAGATACTATTATAGTTATATAATATTTTGAACTAATTTTTATATTTTCTGTTTTCTTTTTAGTTTTAGTAAAAGTTTTAGTAATTTTATTGTGTGTTTTTGTCATTACTGTTATTATTTTTTAAATATATCTGTGTAGTTTTTATTAATATTTCATTTTTAGTTGTGGTTATTTTAGTACATCAAGTTAAACTAAATTAATTGAATTGTTTGAATTGAATGTATGAATTGTATTTTACAAATTTTATTGTGTTTTTGTCATTATTATTATTTTTTTAAAATATGTCTGTAGTTTTTATTAATTTTTATTTAGTTTTTAGTTGTAGTTATTTTAGTAAAACACAGTCTGAGGTGTTTTCACACCATCTCTGTGTTAAGGACAAGGCCATGAGCAGCTGAGATCTTCAAAGGGTTTGCTGCTTGTCTCTGGCTTTGTCTTTGGAGGATTTAGCACAGAGGATTGAAATTCTTTCAGTGGTCACTTTGGCCTCTCGCTCACATCTGCTCCTCGTGTGTGGATTCAGCAGCTCTCTTTGAAAAGGGGATCGATGCTTTGAAGGCACCGGAAGCAGGCGACGCGCTCGAATGAATTTGCCCTTTGCACATTTCATTAGTCTGACAATTAAAGAAAGATAAATGTCCAAATGAGATCCCCCTGGAGTACCGGATCCTCAGGGAGGGATTTATTACAGACATCGGAAACACGCAAGACTGAGGTTTGTTTGGACCTCCACAGATCTCAAAAATGTTGGTTGGGACAGTTGCATGTAGTTTTAAATGAGCTAAAGCAAAAATCATATTTAATCATTTTACTTTGTACTACAGATCAAAAGTTTGGGGTCGGTAAGATTTTTTTTCAAAACATTAATATTTTTATTCAGCAGGGATGCATTAAAATTATTTAAAGTGGCAGTAAAGACATTTAAAATGTGAAAAAAGTGATTTCTATTTCAAATAAATGCTGTTCTTTTGAACTTTCTATTCATCAAAGAATCAAGTTTCCACAAAAATATTGGGCAGCATAACTGTTTTCAACAAGGATGATAATCAGAAATGTTTCTTGAGCAGCAAATCAGCATATTATAATGATTTCTGAAGGATCATGTGACACTGAAGACTGGAGCAATGATGCTGAAAATTCAGCTTTGATCACAACAATACATTACATTTTACAATATTTTAAGGAGGCAGCTATTTTAAATTGTAATATTGTCACTTTTTATTGTGTTTTTATAAAAAGGCTATTCTGAATGTTTTTGAGTGATGATTACGTTTTTGAAAATAGGGAAAAATTGAATTTTAATAGATGAAAAATGCTTCAAAGAATAATTGATTTTTAATTAAAATAATTTATTGATTCTTTTCACAGAAATGAACTGAACATTTTTGTCATTCTAACCCATAATATTTCCATGAAGAGCCTTAGATGCTGACATGGCAATAAAAATAAATAACAACTTCTACTACTAACCCATAATATTCCTTCAAATCGCATGTTAGTCATGCATGACTTCTACTGTATGTCCTATTATAACGTCAGTGTTTATATCATGTAAACTGTTTATCTGTTCAAGCACAGGACTTTCTCGGAAAATCCTCACAGGGAGGAATTTAAAAATAACCAAAATTAGGTTCAGATGGACTTGATACTCCGACACCCCTGTTTAGATTGTGGAAGTAATAACATGATGGATAATGTGCAAGTTATTGTCTTAAACCCTGGATGATAATGACCGAATGGGCTTTATTCGGCTGTGCCGAAGGGAATCTTTGGGAATGGTTATTAGGAGCATCAAAGGCTGGCTGATGAGTTTCATGTGGACAGTGTGTGGTCATTGCAGACCACAGGAAATAAGACATGAGCTCATCTCAAGAAGCACAGGTACTTGTATGAAGTTAAAGGTGGGGTAAGCGATTTTTCAAAAACGCTTTAGAAAACTCTAAAGTCTGTCTAGTACACTGGCCACCGTTGGTCAAAGCGACCGTTGAAAATCATTTGAAATTTGTGTCAATACGTCATAAAAAGAACGCAGCAGCAGTTTTCTGTCGGGGATTTGTCGTGTCGTGACGCGCCGCATCCAGTGTAGACCATATCGATATGTATATATATCTATGGTGTAGACAGCATCACTGATTTCTATAGTATTTTGTCGCGCCGCGCCACTCGCGTCCGGTGTCACGGTGTAACATTGGTTTTGCTTTGTTTCACAGAACTAATCGTTGCCTGGGTTGCGTACGTATGTGTGGGGCGGAGCTATCAAAATAGGGGCGACACCCTTTTGGGGTAGGGGCGTGTTTGTTTTGGTGATTTCAAATGTCAACATTGGCTACCAGAAATCGCTTACCTCACCTTTAATGTTTCTAGGCAAACTATTCATTTTAAAGAGGTGTCTGTGTGTGTGTGTTTATGGGAGAGGATGTTCAGATCTTCACGAGGAGGTATTGAACAGCAGGACGGGGGGCAGGAATCTCACCTCATTCTTTTATGACTATTTTTCTCATGTTAGAATAATAATAATGTGAAATAACAGATATGGAAATGATGTAGTGACATAAATGAAATCTGTCTTATTTGAACTGCTTCCAGCTCTGCTCGCTCTGGACATTCATTAACCAACTTCATCAGGTGCATTGTGGGATGCTTTGAAATACTAATGAAGGAAGAATATGTGTGATGAGCACATTTAAGCAGAAGCCTTCATATTAAAAGGTTTTTAAAATCATGGGAAACAAAAATGCATTCAGGTGTATTCAAACTTGATATTAATTGTTAACTCAAACAATAAATAAATAAATAAAATAAATAAATAAATAAATACAAATAAAAGGCTATTCATGATTATTTAGTTTTTTGACAACCCTAATATATGTCAAATGAATAATAATAATAATAATAATAATGTGTGTATACATTTTATGTAAATGTTCTTTCTTATATATCTTTTAAAAATATTAATATTTTATATATTATTTTACGTTTTAGTTCTGTCAGTACATTGTTTATACACACACACACGCATGAATGATAATACTAAATATATATTCATGTAATCATGGCTTATCTTACATTTTGTGGAGTTTAAAAAAAGATAAAACATTGTTAATTTTTATTAATCTTTTGTTTTGTTGATAATGTGTGTGTGTGTGTGTATATACAGTATATGACAGACCTAATAAACTTATTTAATTTGATTGCAGATATATTTAATTGCTAAAAGTACTGTGGTTGCTCTTATGATTAAAAACTAGTCAATTTGAATGTTTTGTAAATGAGACATTGCATGTTCACCAGACTACCACTTTTGATGCATGCAGAATTATTATCTGCCTCAAAACATTGCTTAAAACAAGCTGTATGACCCTGTCATATCTGCATAGATGGATCTCAGTCAGAATAGTGTAGTTAGTTGAAAGCATATTTTCCGGTACTGTGAAAAACACTGCACAGAAACCGCAGCTCAATCCAGCATTCAACCTCTGTTATCTTGTACGCACTGGGAGGTACAGTGATATGAGTTCAGCCAAACTCAGAGCGTAAACGCTTCCAAATAGACTCTGATTTCAGCATCGCACTCAGAGCTTCATTACCTCGGTCCTGCAGCTCATTTCCTCACAGCTGAAGTAATAACGTTGAACTGTGGCTGCCTCCTTTTAAGCTAAACCGCTGTTTCCCCAAACCGGCGGGTTATTGATCCTATTAAAGCCATATCACATGAGGCTGGCACATATTATGTGCTGCTTTCATCAGGAGAGAGCCACACGTGTCCCACCTCGTCCTCTTTGCCTCCTTACTGACCTCTGCTGGAGAGTTTGTGTCATTACCTCTCAAGGTCGAAGGTCAGGAATACTTTTCCTCCTGGTCTAGTTCATGTTGAATTTGTTTGAGTAACAGCAAGGCTTTCCAGTGATATAGTGTGTTGGAGGAGGATGGTGTTAGCAGATGTTCAGAAGGTCTTCAGAGAGATGGTAGATGAAGTGTCTCTCAAGATGTCGGGTTGCTTGAAGATTTGTTTAGTGCCTCAAGATACACTTTTCAGCTTTTAAGCTTTACAGTTTATATTAATAAAGCGTGTTTGACTGTTTTAAAGCAAATCTGATTCAAAAGTTTTAAGACGTGTGTTTGTTTCTGTTTGTGTTTAAGAATGTGTGTCACAGAAATGTTGTAATCACTGCTCTATACTGTAATCAAGAGCAATAATCTTAGTCTCAGTTCTGAAGCACCAAGTTCCTTCCGGCACTCTGACTTTCACACTTAAACCATCTGTCTAGCTGTTAGTCCATTTAACATGTCTTACATGCGTTCAGCTATCATGTGTACTTTGAGACAGATCCAGAAATGCATTACCATCTGGCCATCACAATTACTAAAACAGACGTACGTTATAGAGATGTATAAGGAAGCACATTCCTATGATTATATTCCTGCACGTATTATTTGTCTATTTTCAATATTAGTTTTTTTATTGGCTAAAATTTAAATTTATTAAAGATGACAATAATATTACTTTACTTTTTAGTATAATATCACAATTAATTGAACACTTGTGAATTTTAAATAATTTCGGTACTTCGAGTGGAGATACATTTTTGTTGTGTCTCCAGGTGCTACAATAAAAATATGACTATTTATTTTGAAATATTTTAGATGTTTCTTAATTTTTACTTTCTCATCAAAATATGTCAAACAAAACATCTTTTTGTAAAAGCCTTTTAACTAACTAACTGACTAAATAACTAATAAAAAAAAACAATTAAAGGGGTCATATGATGCTGCTAAAAAGAACATTATTTTGTAGGGGTATAACGATATATCGCAGTACGATATTTTGCGATGCAAAAATGTTAGGATATGTATCGTAGAGTGGTGGCGATACTTTTACGATATGACGGCAGTCTAATCCTATTGGTTGAGCTGCCGACGTGACCTACTCTGCAACAGCGTCGCGTGTGTGCTTTCTTCGCAGTTGCAGAAATCGCTTAAACTGAACATGAGTTTGGCTGAAACTGAAATTGAAGATGCCCCGTCTTCTTACAAGTCCGACGTCTGGCAGCATTTTGGTTTTCCAGTCACGCGACAGGACGACGGTAAAAAAATTAGACAAAACACAAACTGTTTGTAAACCAAGAGCTTGTAACACTCCAAAGAGAAAGGAAAAATTGAAATCGCATCATATGACCCCTTTAAAATGTCTTGGAAGTGTTGAACACTGAAATCAGTTTTACTTCATCAAAAAAATATTGGTTGGGTGACTTATAACCAGTGTTGGGGAGTAACTAGTTACATGTAACGGAATTATGTAATTTAATTACAAAATAAAACTAATTGTAATCAGTTATAGTTACTGAGAAAAAATTTGTAATTAAATTACAGTTACTTTTACAAAAGGGGTTACATGCTTTTTTTCCACACACACTCCCACATACAGATTTAATTGATTTCTTTCATAAATTGCCGTGACTGCTCTAAAATATGAAACACCAATGTTTCAGGAGTTTAGAACATGCTTATTCGATAACTCTTTTATTTCCTATGGGTTTATGTATAGCTATGCTTCATTTTTTAAAAGATTAACTGTTTCTTTCCAAGGCATTGTTAGATTCCAGTGTTTACTGTCATAGCTATGTAAAGATTTGATTCCTAAAACAGTATCATAGCTAATAAAATATTTATTGTTATGATTTTAAATGTATTTAACCTCAGAATGATCTCAAAGTAAGTCTGATTTTCTCCTTTAAAATTAAAATATTATAATCTTAATTCAAGTGATGAAGGATTTCGAAAGTGTGACAGTAATCAGTGTTGAGTACTACTGTAAGGTTTACCGTGCCTGGTTTACATGTTTGAAAATGATAAACAGTTGAAAACATTAGAAATGTAGAAAAGTAATCAAAAAGTAATCAAATGTAATCAGTTACATTACTTTAATAAAGTAATTGAAAAATTACACTACTTATTACATTTTAAGTAGGGTAACTTGTAATCTGTAACCTATTACATTTCCAAAGTAACCTTCCCAACACTGCTTATAACATGTTGTCTACTAACATGTACTACATGTTCAAGAAAAGTTTTATAAAATGATAAACCTCACATTTCAGTCTTTAAATAATTTTTAAGAAAAGGGAAAAGGATGAGTCAAAATTATAAATGATAGGCATTTTATCTGCTCCATTACCAATTCTACATAGGCTACCTTATTATCTGAAGTGTTGCGATTTCTAGAATGCACATTAGCTTGTTTTCCATCTGCTGGTTAAGATTTACAACAAAGATTTGATCCACATTGGTCTGAATAAAAACGGCAGACAGACTGAATGCAAATGTAACTCCACTGTCTCACAGCAGGTGGTGCTTATGGAACATCAGAAATAATTATCATTTAATAATTATTTTTTAATTTATAAAATTATTTTTAATCAGCAGTAAGCTGATTAAAAATCTGCAAATGATCATGTCCTCATGATTCGATCATGTCTTTTATACCCTTTTATAGAAATACCATCTTAAATTGCAGCACAAGTGAAAATTTTTTAACGTTTCAGAGTTCAGAAGGTTCTGCAGAACCAGACTGATCCGGCTGATTACATGTTGGATTGGAGCTCGCTTTGGCATCGGTGGCGTCGGTGTGACATCGACCGGCCAATGCAATGAAACCGCCTCAGAGCAGATCTGGATGACAGCTTCCTCTGTTCAGTATTTCACTTAACAAAAGTGAACTTCCATCTGTGTACGTCACTTCAGTCTGAATACGTGATTCACAGACGGCTGATATTTCAGAGTAAAGAGCAGTATTGTCACGCCGCTCTCTTTCTTCCATGGCTTTTGTTGTTCGTACAGAAGATCTTGTGTCTGGGGAGAACGGCTCAAATGTGAGCGTGTCATGAGGTCTTTGACTTTGCTCCATGTCTTTTAAAGTCTGTGGATCTACCCACATGTGTAGAGCACAAAAGTCAAGTTGCAGAAGAAAAAAAATCTCTTAAATTTTTTAAAAATGTTATATTTAGTTTTTAATATATTTAAATGAATATATTCAATTTAATGAGCTCATTTCAGTGCATTATGGAATGTAAAAATCTCTTTCATTTTCTCCAATAGAGGAATTGATTTTTAAAAATTATATATATATATATATATATATATATATCAAAAGTTTTTGAACAGTAAAATTTTTTTATGTTTTTTTAAAGAAGTCTCTTCTGCTATATATATATAATATTTTCTCTGAGATCATTGCAGTGCATTGTGGGATTGCCTTCTTGATTTGATGTGGCCAGCAGAAGGTATCTTAGAAAAGTAGTATCATTATGACTGTGATCAGTGATTTGTTTTTTCCCTCTCTCATTCTTCCTCTCATTCATATTCTTTGGCTTTTTATTTGCATGCATCTCAGCTGTGCTGTTGGAACTCAGACTGAGTTGATACCTGTTTGTGTTCTCCACCAGAGAGATGAGATTCATACATTTTAATCACAGATGTGTGTGTCTGTGTCTGTGTCTGTGTGTGTGTGTGTGGATTTATTCTCTCTTCCCTGAAGCCAAAACTTGTACAATAATTATGTGGAAGGAAATACATGAGTGCAGGGCCATCGCCAGAAAATCTTCAATGGGGGGCATTTCGTTTTCATAGGGGGGCACACTTTTTATGATATCAGAAACAGACATTCACCAAAACAATAACAGCCTGTATTATAACTTAAATAGAAGTTCTATATTAATTATATATAGAACTTTACAACTTGAATAAAAAAAAGGTTTCTGTTTACAGCGTGTTTTTGCAGCGTTGAACAACAATCACAGACATATCTGTTGAGATCTCATGCGCAGCTGAGCAAAATGAGAGAAGGAATCACTTAACCTAGGCACTGTCTTATATTTATCTAAAGGTTACATCATGCTACACTATATGCTACACTAAGACTATTTTCTGCCATCTGTATTACAAATGGGAATACAACGAATTAATGACAATGTTTTACATTTAAACTACTCAATAAAATTATAGTTAAAAGTTCCTTAAAAGCATGCAATAAAGTAATTTGTAAATTAAGCTGTTTTTAAAACATTTGCTGCATGAATTTAAAAAAACACACATATCAGACGAAATTGTGCTGAGAGAAAAATCAGAATTTGTCAACAAATCCTTTAAATTTTACGGTATTCAGACAGGAACAAAAAATCAGAAAATATGAGCAGCTATAAAATTATAGTACAAATATATATACAAATGAATAAATCACAAATTATAATGGCATAAACAACATACAAAAGTGTAACCAAAACTAATTTATTTAAGAAACCGACAAATTATAAAATAAAACAAATTATAATGCCATTCGTTATAAACAACATATAAAAGTCTAACCAAAACGAATTTATTTAAGAAACAGACAAATTATAAAATAAAATATAAATTATAATGGCCTTCGTTATAAACAACATATAAAAGTCTAACCAAAACGAATTTAAAGAGAAACTGAAACACATGTATACATCTCTCATTCGGCACGAATACAAATATTTCCCACGAGAGGCTCCGGCGCGATTGCTTAGATTTTTTTCCTTATAGTAGTGGAAACAAGTTAAAATACTGTCATTTTTGGTCATATAGATAAAAATAAGACATTATTCGGAACTGTAAAAGGTTAACTTTTATTTTTGTACACTCACAATAAAAACAAAACAAAAACAAACTTTGGCTTTTGTAAAATAAAGAAAACAAATAGTGTAGGCTTTCAGCCTTCTCGGTTTCCTTGAGCTTGTGGCGCGGTCACAGAAATGAACTGGAACTCAGTGTAGACATGTCGCACAGGTTTTTATTTGGTTTTGTTAATATGTTAATTATTTAAGTAAAATTTCGTTTAGGACTATTTATTTTATTCCTTTATATGTTGTTTTATTCTGTTTTTGTCCCTAGAAGCGCTGCATGTGCGTGATGTGACGACGTGTGAATCCTTATGTTCTAAATAATGTTTGTGCTGCTGTTTGCACCCCACGCAGTGCGTGCCCGTCCGCTACGCCAGTATGATTCCATCCAAAGTTACGAATTAAACTTATGCGCAAAATTGGAATAACGCATAAAACATTTGTAAATAAAGCACCGTTTCCATCTAGTGAGTTGAAGAGAACAAAATCGTCACTTCCTGATTAATTTGCGCTAAATATCACGAAGAAAAATTGTATTTGCTGCAGTAGGAGAAGGCCTAGGCCTGTATGATTATTTTTTTTATAAAATAAATTACGAGCTTCAGAGCACGCAGACGAAAGCGGTCATGTTATCTTATTTTCGGAGCCTGCTGTTTGGGAATGCAAATCTGAGAGTTAATTATAACGAAGCACTTTGACGAGACTTTGCTCAAGCATTTTAGAATGACAAAACTAGCATTTCAGATGCTGTGCAAAGACATCGGTCCGTTGATTGGTCCAGTTATGCTGTCCCGTTGATGCGCATTAAGGGATTTATTCAGTAAAAGTGTTTCCATCATAGATAATGCGCATGTTTTCTAACCGGATAAGAATTTTAACCTACTTAGTTGAGCGCATAAATTTTTTACGCACATTTTAATGTCGGCTATACGCATCTTGGCATTTCCATCCAGCGTTTTTTTATGTGATATACCAAAATGTGCATAACAATAGGTGCATGGAAACACTGAGTTATTAGCTTCCTGTTAATTTACTGTTGTAGAGATTAGTGGTCCTTTGAGCTAAATGATTTGTTTGGCAATATTTAATTCTAGATCAGTACAATGAATGTTTTTCGTTCTCAATAGTAAGTTCGCTCGTGATCATGTGCAAGGGGGCCCGTCGAGTCATTTGGGGGGGGCACTGTCCCCCCTTGGCGACGGGCCTGCATGAGTGCATTCAGTGAAACCTTGTGTGCTGTTCA